CATCTGTATTATGTTGTGTAGTTTGATTCAGTTAGTGATTAGTTATACAATCTGTATATGTTGTGTAGTTTGATTCAGTTAGTGATTAGTTATACAATCTGTATAAGTTGTGTGGTTTGATTCAGACAGTGATTAGTTATACAATCTGTATATATTGTGTAGTTTGATTCAGTCAGTTATTAGTTATACAATCTGTATATATTGTGTGGTTTGATTCAGATAGTGATTAGTTATACAATCTGTATATATTGTGTAGTTTGATTCAGTTAGTGATTAGTTATACAATCTGTATATGTTGTGTAGTTTGATTCAGTTAGTGATTAGTTATACAATCTGTATATATTGTGTAGTTTGATTCAGTTAGTGATTAGTTATACAATCTGTATATATTGTGTAGTTTGATTCAGATAGTGATTAGTTATACAATCTGTATATATTGTGTAGTTTGATTCAGTTAGTGATTAGTTATACAATCTGTATAAGTTGTGTGGTTTGATTCAGACAGTGATTGGTTATACAATCTGTATATATTGTGTAGTTTGATTCAGTCAGTTATTAGTTATACAATCTGTATATGTTGTGTAGTTTGATTCAGTTAGTGATTAGTTATACAATCTGTATAAGTTGTGTGGTTTGATTCAGTCAGTGATTAGTTATACAATCTGTATATATTGTGTGGTTTGATTCAGATAGTGATTAGTTATACAATCTGTATATGTTGTGTAGTTTGATTCAGTCAGTTATTAGTTATACAATCTGTATATGTTGTGTAGTTTGATTCAGTTAGTGATTAGTTATACAATCTGTATAAGTTGTGTGGTTTGATTCAGTCAGTGATTAGTTATACAATCTGTATATATTGTGTGGTTTGATTCAGATAGTGATTAGTTATACAATCTGTATATGTTGTGTAGTTTGATTCAGTCAGTTATTAGTTATACAATCTGTATATGTTGTGTGGTTTGATTCAGTCAGTTATTAGTTATACAATCTGTATATGTTGTGTAGTTTGATTCAGTTAGTAATTAGTTATACAATCTGTATATGTTGTGTAGTTTGATTCAGTTAGTAATTAGTTATACAATCTGTATATGTTATGTGGTTTGATTCAGACATAGTTAATCAATACAATTCATAATACGATAGTTACAAATGTATATGATTTGACTCGAAATCCAAGTTAATAGTTCAAAAATACATTGGTAGCTGAACATGAACTGCATGTATTTATATGAGGAAATATTGCAATTATCAATGGGTATTTCATTATGAAAATTGGTATTAGGTGTCTAGAAGAGCAAGCATATCCTGTCTGGCGCCAATACAATTCAACGATTATACTGAGTTGATTTGAGTCTTATATAGGCTATCTAATAGATAAATCTACATTTGTTTTAAAATAGCTGATTAAGATACGGGATGTTGTAAAGTAAGCAGTTTAAAATGATATGGTATTAGCGGGTGAAACCAACACCGGACCCACTCTCTGAAGCACTAGCACAGGCATAAAAATTTTCCAGACATTTTCCTCAATTCGGTGTTTAATATGATTAAATCAGTTCATTATTTTCCAACACCTACCAAAATAATATCGACTTTAAAAGGACATACATCCCACCATAAAATTCTGCTTTACAGTTCTTTGTTGTTGATATTTCTCATTTGTCTTTAAGTTCAAGTTTATATCACAGTATATAGATATTGTTTCATATTACAGTAAGTGGGATATTGTTTTTATTACTGTATGTAGATATTGTTTCATATTACAGTAAGTAGGATATTGTTTTTATTACTGTATGTAGATATTGTTTCATATTACAGTAAGTAGGATATTGTTTTTATTACTGTATGTAGATATTGTTTCATATTACAGTAAGTGGGATATTGTTTTTATTACTGTATGTAGCTACTGTTTAAATTACAGTAAGTAGGATATTGTTTTTATTACTGTATGTAGATATAGTTTTTATTACTGTATGTAGATATTGTTTCATATTACAGTAAGTAGGATATTGTTTCATATTACAGTAGGTATTGTTTACATTACTTCAAGAAGGATATTGTTTAAAAGTAGGAAATTGACTTGTGTAAATTACAGTAAGTAGGATATCGTTTAAATTACAGTAGGCCTGAGAAGAATCGTTAAGTGTGAAAATTTCATATTACAGAAAGTAGGATATATTTATATTACAGTAAGTAGGACATTATTTATTATAGTAAGAAGAATACTATTTAATAAGTAGGATACCGTTTATATTACAGTAAGTAGGATATTGTTTTAATAACAGTAGGCCTGAGAAGAATTGTTAAGTGTGAAAATTTCATATTACAGAAAGTAGGATATATTTATATTACAGTAAGTAGGACATTATTTATTATAGTAAGAAGAATACTATTTAATAAGTAGGATACTGTTTATATTACAGTAAGTAGGATATTATTTATTATATTAAGAAGAATACTATTTAATAAGTAGGATACTGTTTATATTACAGTAAGTAGGATATTATTCATTATAGTAAGCAGAATACTATTAATAAGTAGGATACTGTTTATATTACAGTAAGTAGGATATTATTTATTATAGTAAGAAGAATACTATTAATAAGTAGGATACTGTTTATATTACAGTAAGTAAGATATTATTCATTATAGTAAGGAGAATACTATTTAATAAGTAGGATACTGTTTATATTACAGTAAGTAGGATATTATTTATTATAGTAAGAAGAGTACTATTTAATAAGTAGGATAGTGTTTATATTACAATATGTAGGATATTATTTATTATAGTAAGAAGAATATTATCTAATAAGTAGGATACTGTTCATATTACAGTAAGTAAGATATTATTTATTATAGTAAGAAGAATACTATTTAATAAGTAGGATACTGTTTATATTACAGTAAGTAGGATATTGTTTATATTACAGTAAGTAGGATATTATTCATTATAGTAAGCAGAATACTATTAATAAGTAGGATACTGTTTATATTACAGTAAGTAGGATATTATTTATTATAGTAAGGAGAATACTATTTAATAAGTAGGATACTGTTTATATTACAGTAAGTAGGATATTATTTATTATAGTAAGAAGAGTACTATTTAATAAGTAGGATAGCGTTCATATTACAATATGTAGGACATTATTTATTACAGTAAGAAGAATATTATCTAATAAGTAGGATACTGTTTATATTACAGTAAGTAAGATATTATTTATTATAGTAAGAAGAATAATATTTGATAAGTAGGATACTGTTTATATTACAGTAAGTAGGATATTATTTATTATAGTAAGAAGAATACTATCTAATAAGTAGGATGCTGTTTATATTACAGTAAGTAGGATATAATTTATTATAGTAAGAAGAATACTATTTAATAAGTAGGATACTGTTTATATTACAGTAAGTAGGATATTATTTATTATAGTAAGAAGAATAATATTTAATAAGTAGGATACTGTTTATATTACAGTAAGTAGGACATTATTCATTATAGTAAGGAGAATACTATTTAATAAGTAGGATACTGTTTATATTACAGTAAGTAGGATATTGTTTATATTACAGTAAGAAGGATATTGTTAAATTATATGACAGTAAGTAGGATATTGTTTATATTACAGTAAGAAGGATATTGTTAAATTATATGACAGTAAGTAGGATATTGTTTATATGATAGTAAGAGAGATATCGTTTTTTACACCAAATGGGATTACAATATAACGATATAGGTAAAAGTAGTCGCACGAGTTGAAGTAAAGGTGGGTATTTACCTCCCTGAAAAATGGTATTTCGAAAATTTCCTCCGAAAAGTCTCTTAGACGCCGCATGAGAGAGTGACGTCTCAACAGAGTTTTTTGAGTCAGTCTGCCCCTGTTTGTACCCCCAATCTGGGAGGCTGTTTCATGTTACAGTAGATGGGATTTGTTTTATGTTACAATAAATAAATAGGATTTGTTTAATGTTACTGTAAATGGGATTTGTTTTATGTTACAGTATATAAATAGGATTTGTTTAATGTTACTGTAAATGGGATTTGTTTTATATATTTCAGTAGATGGGGTTGTAATTGATAAAACCTCTATTAACATGCAAATAACGGATGTATCAAGAATAACGTCACTTATATTTCATGTTAAAGCTTGTAGAGATGCACACTTCCTTTTCTATTCGGATTTATATCAGTAAGTTGACTGTGGTATAATTTTCTTCTCAAACAAATCTAGATGGAATAATTACATCCGGATTTGAATATTGATAATATTTCTACTGAAAACGATCTTCTAGGCACCGGAGTGGTCACAAGTAGTCAATTGAATTTTATTCACCAGTCGTCGTCGAGTTTTTTCAACCAGTTGAAAACCATTATGCAAGTAATTGTATAATAAAATATGGTGCTCACAACTTAAAACTTTGTTTGAAGCTTTCTAGATAGTTAGGTTTAATGATCCTAAAGAGAAGGCGTCCTTTGCTTATTTTGAATCAACAATCAAGCTTTTATAATGCATGGAAAATGTAGTATTAGACTAGGCCTATAAGTGCTATTTTACATCATTACTTAAATCTCCTATAAAATATCCATTATTGGACAGTTAGCTGAATACATTCAAGTATGTTTTGCATAATATATGAAATATACATAAAATTATAGAGTTAATAACTGAATAGCAGATTGATTATTTGCATAGTAGTTCAACTAGTCGAAATTTCAATTTTTCAGATAGTTTCAAAAGTCGGTCATAATCTACAGGAGTCAGTGACAATGTCACTTGTGACTGACTTCGGGGTCTAGAATCTTTTGCCGGTAATTTCTTTCTGAAATAGCATACTGGTAGTTTGAAAAATAGGGGTATTCTTTTCAATCGGCTTTTGTAGTTTGGAGAGTGAAAGACATTCAGCTGCATGCCAACATATAGAGGAAGATGCCCCTTACATTTCGTGAATGTTTTAACGTAAAATATTTCAGTCACACACAGCTACAAATGTCTTAACCGGTTATGAAAGTATTTTTAATTCCACGGGCTCCATTTTGACTGTACTTGCAAATATTTGATTGTGAGAAATGAATTCTGATTGGACGACCAATTATTAATAACCAATCAACAGAAATTTCACAAACTTACATCCAATAGTGAAGAGTTTCCTTATTTCGAAATACTCTGTCCACGTAAAAATCATGCCATGTGTTTTTTAGTACAGTAATTCTGAAATTTGATCATTAAAAGGTTTTCTCTGTCGTCAGATCAACGTATAGAAACTATGCAAAAGACATACATATAATAAGCCCAGGTTACACGTTGAAATTAAAGCGGAATGCATCTGCCTCTATTCCAGCCTCTGGTAGCTATTTGGACAGAAAAAATGGCATCTCCGCGGGTGCGAGGGTTTTAAACCTATTTAGATATCTCGGATCTGCAAAACCAAGATATATTTGGAAAGATTTTTGTAGTTCAGCCATACCATCATTATCTACCTAAACCATTTATGTCATGTCTCCGGTTCAATTAAAGGTTTTTTTAAACAAAACTGATCTCACATCGGACATTTAAAATTGCGTGCGCAGCTAAAAGGTCACAGAGTCACTTGATACGAAAGTTACGGTAATGCCCAACACTTATTTACAGTCATTGTAAAAGTCATTTGATATCATGTTAGAAAAAGCGCATCTCTGGAGGTGTGGAAAATCTCCATTTAACATGGCCTTTTTCTTCTGACTCTACTCCAGCCGACAACTGTCAGAATATCCATCACAGGCTGGAATTAAGGCAGATGTTTCGGACTTAATGTTCATTTCAGTCATACACAACTCACTGTTCGGTATTACATATCTTGATACATCAATAATGCTCTACGATCTTACCAGGTGTGATGAGCATTTGCATATTTTGTTATTGTCCCAATTATTTTGACATTTTGCAGATTAGTGAAAATTGTCATCTTAGGTAGTTCTGGTAATTGTGATATAAGACCTGGTTTTTACAGTTATGAGAATTATAAACGATGTATTGTTGATTGTTATCAATTTAAACCATTCTGGATAAGTTGGCAGTCAAATTATATGCGACTTGGTTATGGAAATATCGTCGACCAGCAGATCGTTGTGTCAGGGACGTCACCACTAACGTTTGATATAGCGTATTTATCAGTAATGCGATATGAAAATTTCTCTTGGGAAATAGAGTACCCTGGAAATAATACTGGAATACAAGGTAAGCTAGCATTCTTATTTGGAATGTAAACGATATTTTGAAGAACGAATCTATATTTACCACCTTATACATCGCCTTTTAGTTTCAAATCAAGATGTTATGCATCGCCAATCGCCAATCTGCCGAAAATTTTCTGAATCAAATGCTTCAAATAGTGCCATAATAATTTTGCTATTTTAATCAAAAACACGGTCAATGCATTAGTTAATTTTCGAATCAGCGAAAATCATAGCAGTCGCAATACAAGTAAAATGGGGCTTTAAAGAACATAATTGAACAAAGAGTCTCCATTTTGCTTCCAAAATGCCTTTTGGTTGTCTTGTGTTTAAGAGTGTTGATAACTGAGCTTGAGAAACTTTCCATCTTCCGTTTGTCTATCTTAAAAACAGCTACAGCTAGCGGGATCCAAGCTGAGAAAACAATTAAGTGTCAAATTGAATGCCAAGGAAAATACATGTATTTAAAAGTCCCTTGAAAAAGTTTCTGTTATTTCTTCTGTTATTTCTGTTTTCCAGATTTCAAGTTTATAAGACATACCAACACACGATCAATGTCCATCTTGAGTGTTCAAACCACAAGATCTGTGTCAATGTGTGGTATCTCCTGTAAGCTCTCAACAGATTGCTTTGGTTTCAACTATAATCCTAGTTTGAGCTACGATAACTGTGAACTTCTAACCTCTTTTCAGCTTATTGATAAGAATAACCCTGAATTACAATTACAGATAATTCATCCTTATGATTGGAATTTATACATTACCAAATTCCCTTAGAAATTCACATTTAAAACTAAATTCTATCAATTATTCAGATTTTACATCGGGTAATTGTTTCAATAATTCAGATTGTACATTTATAATTCATTGTATCTATTCAGTAGTTCAGATTTTATATTTTTATAATTGATTGTATCTATTCAGTAATTCAGATTTTACATTATAGATTATATCAATTTAAATATTATAACTTGATTCAGTAATTCAGCTTTAATGATATTAATTGATCAGTAACTTAGAATATATATTATCAATTGAATCAGTAATTCAGATTTAATAATATTAATTAATCAGTAACTCAGATTATATATTATTAATTGAATCAGTCATTCAGATTTAATAATATTAATTGATTAGTAACTCAGATTATATATTATTAATTGAATCGGAAATTCAGATTTTATATTATTACTTGAATCGGAAATTCAGATTTTATATTATTACTTGAATCGGAAATTCAGAATCAATATTATTAATTAGTAATTCAGATTTTATACTATTACTTGAATCATCAATTCAGATTTTATGTTATTACTTGAATCAGTAATTCAGTTTTTATACGCCCACATGAATATGTGGTCGTATATTGTCGTCGCCCGTGTCCGTCGGTCCGTCCGTCGGTCCGTCCGTCAACATTTCTTGTGAGCACTATAATGACTACAGTTTTTATCTGATTTTGATAAAACTTGGTGTGATGCTTTAGATTGATAAGATCTCGGTCAAGTTCGAATTTGACATATTTTCGATGATCGGTTTTTGAGATATTGCCCTTGACTTAGAACGCCTTGAAATTTGTTAAAAATAGTTCGTGAGTAGGATTGAAGCTACAGTTTTCAACCGATTCTGATGAAACTTGGTGTGATCATTGGAATTGATAAGATCTCGGACAAGTTCTGACTTGACGCATTTTCAATGAACGGTTTTTGAGTTATTGCCCTTGACTTTGTTAAAACGCGTCGAAATTTGTTCGTTAGCACAATAGAAGCTACAGTTTTCAACCGATTCTGATGAAACTTGGTGTGATCATTGGAATTGATAAGATCTCGGACAAGCTCTAATTTGACGCATTTTCAATGAACGGTTTTTGAGTTATTGACCTTGACTTTGTAAAAACGCGTCAAAATTTGTTCGTTAGCACAATAGAAGCTACAGTTTTCAACCGATTCTGATGAAACTTGGTGTGATCATTGAAATTGATAAGATCTCGGACAAGTTCTAACTTGACGCATTTTCGATGAAATGTTTTTGCGTTAATGCCATTAACTTACGAAAAACGCGTCAAAATTTGTTTGTGAGCGCAATAGAAGCTACAGTTTTCAACTGATTCTGATGAAACTTGGTGTGATCATTGGAATTGATAAGATCTCAGACAAGTTCTAACAAGAGATATTTTTGAAGAACATTTTTTGAGTTATTGCCCTTGACTTTGTAAACACGCGTCAAAAATTGTTTTTTGCCCTTGATTAGAGCTGTGTGATTTAATTGTTTGTTGTAATTGGGTTATTGATATTGATTTTAAAAAATTTTGTGGAATTATTCAGCATAAATAATTTCTTCAATATGAGAAAATTCGTACTTTAGTCACTAAAGACTGTTTTATTATTTCTGACAGCTGCCAGTGGGCGTATGTTACCTTGCAACGCAAGCTATCTTAATATTATTAATTGAATTATAATTCAGATTTTATATCATTACCTGAATCGGAAATTTAGAATTAATATTATTAATTGATTAGTAGTTCAGATTTTATATTTTTACTTGAATGAGAAATTCAGCTTTTTGATAGAATTACTTGAATCAGTAATTCAGATTATATATTATTAATTGAATCAGTAACTCAGATGTAATATTATTATTTGAATCAGCAATTCAGATTTTATGTTATTACTTGAATCAGTAATTCAGATTTAATATTATTAATTGAATCAAAATTCAGGTTTTATAGTATTACTTGAATCAGAAATTCAGATTTGATAGAAGTATTTGAATCAGTAATTCAGATTTGATATCATTAATCAAATCAGATATTCAGATTTGATATCATTTATTGAATCAGTAATTCATATTTGATATCATTGCTTGAATGAGAAATTCAGATCTGATTGAATTAATTGATCAGTAATTCAGATTTTACATCATTAATTGTATCAATAATTCAGACTTTACATTATTCAGATTTCATTTCAAATTGCATCAGTTGTTTACCATCTTTAATATAATTATTACTGATATTATAATATCATTTTTATCCTCATAATTACATGCAAGAAAAGCAATAATGCTAATTATTGGTTCCACACATTATTGCTGAATCGTAGAAGAATCAGATATCAGAGCTACACGTGATACATGCAATGACGTCATTAATCGCGAAAGGTAATTTGATACAAGCGTATATTGCGTTTAATGACGTCATCAATCACTTATTGTTTGTGGAATTGCAGGAACTACAGATGTCTGAATGCACATATACATGGTATACATAAAAATTTTTGAAAACTTTCCTTCAATTATCTTAAAAATAATGCTCAATACCGTCATTGCTGCATGTGATTTTGTATGACTTTACTTATGATAATTATTTAATATTTTTTTAATTCATTCACCATGCCACATCCTCTTTAGTTTCATTCAAGAATGGTGCCTTTATTTAATTACACGTTTAGCAAGTCTAATTGTTTGTGTTATGGAAGTTATTCTTAATTATTCCAGCGAGACAATTTGCGGCTATCATGAACAAAAAAATGTTAAAATGGTTAGGGCTTCTCTGTTTATAAGTTTACATAGCTTAAAATGTTAATTGGTAATCTCTTGTAACATCACTGATAAATCTACATAAAGAATCCCAAATTCACCTTATAATATGGTTTATACATAACTCTTCTCTGCGACTCATACCAATAGCACCATATAGTCCAACATAGTAAATACCTATTACAACATGGCGATGTACATGACTACCGAATGTACTTTTAAAACTAATAGCAAATCTCTCCAGGCCCACAAATTGATTAAAAAGCCTCCGTATTTGACCCGAATCGTCTCTGCATTTTACTCTAAGCTCTTCCACAAAAGGTCAATTTCGCCTCCGGGTTTGACTCGCAGCACAAGTCCCCACTGAAAAATTCTGCTGCCCGCCCCTATCTGAAGAATTTAGATTACTTGAATAATTAACAGCACTACATGAAGAAGATCTATAACTATGAGAGGCTACAACGGAAGAATCAATTTCAGGCAGTTCTAGAACGGCCTTGAACCACCTTGCAAAAGTATCTTCACTTTACTTTACCATCTTAACTTCTCTGTGGGGTCGACCAATCACATGCTGTGCTCATTAAGAAACCTCGGACTCCACTATAAGATGAATTGCAGATCTATATGTTGTGTTGATTTATACAAGCAATTCAAAAAGATTGTTTGTACAAACAATACGTCAATATGTCACAAGAGATATTCCAGAACTCGTCACAGTCATGTAGGCACTAGATATTTATTGAACAACTTTGATTGATTGAATATTTTATGGCTAAAATATATCATGCTGATCACGGATGGCAAGTTGAGTCACTAACAGACCTGGGAACCGAAACGAAACTTCTAGATTTAACATGTTATTGAAGATAACGAAATTGATTGCATCAAACACTGTGATGTATTGTGTATTGGGATATGTAGTCCGAATCATATACCCCTTTTCCAGCCTGTAGTAGCCATTGTAAAAGTTTTCGGCTATGATTAGGGTTAGAAAAACTAGGCCCTGTTAAATGAGAATTTTCTGCACCTGTAAAGCTGCGGTTTTCATAGACATATTCATTTGCCTCAAATCCACCAAACTACGATGCGGGACATCATCGCTACTTTCGTTTTGTTAGTATCACATGACCCTGTGACCCTCTATCTTTGGATGCGCACATAGTTTTTGATGGTCGACGAGAGATTAGTTTCATTAAAAACTTAGATGCAACTGCAAATGGATTATGATGGTATGATAAAATGTGGAGATCTGCAGGAGAACTTTAGCAGCGTCAATTTCGAATCATAAACCTCATGTTAACACCTTTGATTCAGAATAGAGGTATTGCAATATTTTGGGGAACTATGGTGGTGAAATCTATTTGAAAATACCTTAAATGAGTAGAAAACAAACTGGCCCACAACTCTCGAGATGAGATTGAAACTACCAGTTTTTATTCAATAGGAGAGTAAACAGTCGTAATAATTAAACACTGATCTAAAGGAAGCAATATTGTATCAAAAAGGAATAACTTAAAGGAGCAGGTCGACCATCCGTTTGATCAACGTACTTTATTCTTAGAAACAGGTCTTTTTTGTTCATACGTCATAGTGTTCAAAGCTCATCGTCAAAATTTGAGCCTTCAAATCCGCGTGTGTCTAGAATTTTCCACGTTTGAAAGTTAAAATAAGTCGTCTTTTCTTTTGACTCGGTGATATACAGAAAAGACATATAAAGAAATAGAAAGTGAAATTCCGAGTTTGAGGTACATAAGGAATTATGCAATATTTCTACTATAGAAATTCTGAAGACTATTTACATATATTTGAGACTCAAATCAACACCCGAAAATGGTGATCAGTCCCTTTAAAGGATGACAGTCCATAAATTTTAATGAAAAAAAAAACAAATTGGTTAACGTACTGTATTCTGGCAATAAAGCAGCATGGAACACTAGCCACTTCAAACATTTGTTTTTTTTTTTTTTTTTTTTTTAATGTACTGAGCACTGAAATACTGTACTGTATTTCTGAATTTCCAACTGTTGATCTTTAGCGTGTACAGCATACGCGGTTTCGTCTAGTCCAATCCACGCCTCCATTCGTCATACTTCCTCGAGACCGTGGTAAGTGAGAGAAATTACGTATTAAATATTATCCAATTAGAATTGCTCCTGTTATCTCGCTAGTAAAATTTCAGCCAATCAGAACAAATGATTTCGTTTGCGAACGTAAACAAAACGAAAGCAGCGTGTCATTAAATGTTTTGATTAATAGGAACGGTACAAAATTGAGTAAGATTTGCGACTTTGGATTTACATGGCAAAAATGTGTTCTTATCTCTTTAAACGGGCAGCGGAGCTATGTTGTGTTTTGTATAACAATGTCGCTTTATATAGATATAAATGCAATATTAATACTCGCTTTCTGAGATCCGGAATGGGAAGTGAATTTTTCAATTCTTCTGAATTCCAACCGATTATTTTTCCTGCCTTTGGTAATAAAGAATTCATTGATTGTCGTATGACTTTCAGTAAACAATAACTTTCTAACAAAAATAAAGGAACGTCATAAATGTGTGGTAAATAGTGCTGTCAATGTTAATTCCGGGTTTATCATTATTATTATATATTATATAAACATAGAATTCAATCCAACAGTGTCAAAAGGAAGACAGAATATCTTTAAACATCGAATTGTCGCTGGAGATCATTTAACAAAAATTCAAACAAACTTGGTGTCAGAAGATTGAAAATGCTGTATAAGTTACTATTATTTGGATTATGGTTTTCAACAGGTAAGTTTATTTTAGGGTATAGATTTACGCTTTAGGCCCTACCCTCAATCTAATTGAAATTATTAGTTGCATGTCAAATCGATTTATGGATTTATCACGGTTTATTATGCAATCTATTATCATTTATTTTCTCTTGGTTTATCCAAATCGATTTGACGCGCATTGATTTCGTTCTGTTTCTTTTTTTTAGGAATATCTCAAACACAAACCGAAAATTGTACGTAATACTGTTTAGACCAGAGATATTTAAATGAGCTGGAATCAAAAATGAATATGCAAATTGGGATTTTTGCTTGACCGGAAGTTACATATCGCGTAGGCCTTAATATGCAAAAAGTTGGTTTGGAAGCTGTAAAATTAAATTGTGGACCGATAATCCTTGGGATTTACCTTGGGTAAAACCTTCTTCCCTATGCCTTTTGTAATACGATGTATTGAATGCAGTGGACAAAATTCATAATTTTGAAAATATTCATACAGAATTTTCTTCCCACGCGCTAATTATCGCATCGATCTGAAAATTACAGGATAGAGAATGCCAATGAAAATAAAACTGTATCATCAAAATTTTGAAATCACTTCCTGATTTGGCGTGGGAACTTCCGGTTTCTAAAAATCACCTTTGTTTCCGGTGTAATTCAAAAATATAGACATAATTCGTACAGATTATCTATGATAAATGATTTGAATCACTTTAGATGAAAAAATTCAAACCAGAAGTGGCGCTTTTTAAAAAAACTTATTATCCGATTTGTATGACTTTGATATCTTATCAAAATCTTGTTACTTGTTGGGATGAGAATATTGACCAGCGAATTTAATTTTTTTAAAATTTAAATGTTCGTAAACACTTCAGAAGGCACAATTCTTGACAGATTTAGACGAAACTTAGTATGATTGTTTGTAATCACCCAAGGTTGAATCATATTGAAAATCAAAAAACCAAAAAATATTTCAAATGAGTCATTGACCTTTTTCTTGAAAACGCTTTCAAATTTTAAGCTCGTAAACACTAAATAAGGCACTGTTCTTGTCGGATTTTGATATGTTGTTCAGCATCACCCCAAAATGTTCAAAAGAAGTGTATGACTGAAGGTCATATTTCATACTGGTGATTGTTACTGTACTGCCAAATACTTAATTCAAAATCAAAGCTGCTAGTGTGCGAATATAACCTTGTCTGGCAAGCTATCTTTTAAGAATAACAAGTCCGTAAGCGCCATTTCGAGCGATTTGAGACCAGGGAGGGATGTTCAATGGACATTCCGCTTTTTTGTAGGTCGAAAAATATGTTTTGCTCAAATTTGTGAAAACTGTATACAAAAATCTACAGAAATGTGCCCTTTAAAGCATCTGAAAGTTTTGATTAAAAGAATCTAGTCGTAAATTTTTAAACGCAAAAAAAAAAAATGAATAAATAAAATAATAAAAAAAAGTGCTTCACGACCCAAGTCGGGGTCGCAACCCAGAATTTGGAAACCCAGGTACCAGAGGAATCTTTAATTTGTTTTAACTAAGTGGTTAATAAACGGGGTGAAAATAATATATTGTGTAGTATTGCAAGCATATTGATTCGGTAGTCAAATTTTAAGATAATATTAAGAGAGGACAAATTTTAGTCCTTCAAATCCAAGTTGCATTGATTTCTCATGTAGACACGTAATATCTTACTCATTGTTCTATATTCTTTTTCAATAAATTCAGCTACTGATAAATCAATGAGTGTGATTCCAGAAATATAATTTTCATTTGACGAGAATATGGCATGGTGTTCAATATGATAAAATCATTTCCTTCCTTTATTCATTCCTTCTTTATTTCCTTTATTCATTCCTTCCTTATTTCCTACAGTCCTTGCATTTGGCACCATTCTCTTGAAATATTTGACAGTTGACTGGGTATGATTATTAAATCTTAAAGCTTTTTATGAATAAATAATTATGATTTCCTCCATGTAGGATATTGTATATATTACAGTAAAAATGATATTGTTTATATTACAGTAAGAATGATATTGTTTATATTACAGTAAGTAGGATATTGTTTATATTACAGTAAGAATGATATTGTTTATATTACATTAAGTATGATATTGTTAATATTACAGTAAGTTTGATATTGTTTATATTACAGTAAGTAGGATATTGTTTATATTACGGTAAGAATGATATTGATTATATTACAGTAAGTATGATATTGTTAATATTACAGTAAGTATATTATTTATATTACAGTAAGTAGGATATTGTTTATATTACAGTAAGAATGATATTGTTTATATTACAGTAAGAATGATATTGTTTATATTACAGTAAGTATTATATTGTTTATATTACAGTGGGTGTGATATTGTTTATATTACAGTAAGAAGGATATTGTTTATATTACAGTAAGTATGATATTGTTTATATTACAGTAAGTATTATATTGTTTATATTACAGTGGGCGTGATATTGTTTATATTACAGTAAGAAGGATATTGGTTATATTACAGTAAGTAAGATAGAGTATATATTACAGCAGGCTATAGGAAATTGTTTATATTACAGAAAGCTATAGGATATTGTTTATATTACAGTAAGTAGGATATTGCTTATATTACAGTAAGAAGGATATTGGTTATATTTTAGTAAGAAGGATATTGTTGATATTTTAGTAAATAGGATATTGTTTATGTTACAGTATGTAGGATAGTGTTTATATTACAACAGGTTATTGGATATTGTTTATATTACAGTAAGTATGATTCAGTTATTATTACAATATATAACACGTTGTTTACATTACAATGAGAAGGGTATTGTTTATATTACAGCAAGTAGGATATTGTTTATATGACAGTAAAAAGGATATTGTTTACATTACAGTAAGTACGATACTACTTATATTACAGTAAGTACGATACTGCTTATATTACAGTAAGTAGGCTACGGTTTATGTTACAAGTAGGATACTGTATATTACTCAGTAAGTTCGATATTGTTAAAACAAAAAAAGCAAGTGGGATACTGTTTATATTACAGTCAGTAGGATATGTTTTTTTTGCAGTATGTTGTTGTTAGTTTCTGGGATATTGTTTATATTACAGTAAGTAGGATACTGGTTATATTACAGCAAGTGGGATATAACTTATATTACAGTACGTTGTATACTGCATATAATTTACAACTAATAGGATACTGTTTATATTAAAACAAGCTATAGGATATTGTTTTATATTACATGTTTTTTATGTTTTTTATCCTATAACAAAAAGCAAGTGGGTTACTGTTTATATTACAGTAAGTAGGCTATGGTTTTTGTTGCAGAATAACATTATTAGTTTCTGGGATATTGTTTATATTACAGTAAGTGGGATATTGGTTATATTACAGTAGGAAGGATACTGATTATATTATGTAAAGTGGGATATTACTTATATTACAGTAAGTTGTATACTGCATATAATTTACAACTAATAGGATACTGTTAATATTACAGTAAGTTGTATGTTGCATATATTACAGTAAGTAGGCAAAGCTTTATATTACAGTAAGTAGGATACTGTTTATATTACAACAAGCTATAGGATATTGTTTTATGTTACAGCAAGTAGGATACTGTATATTATACAGTAAGTAGGATATTGTGTATAAAAAAAGGAAGTGGGATACTGTTAATATTACAGTAAGTAGGCTATGGTTTTTGTTGCAGTATGACATTATTAGTTTCTGGGATATTGTTTATATTACAGTAAGTGGGATACTGGGTATATTACAGTATATAGGATACTGGTTATATTACAGTAAGTAGGATACTGTTTATACTAAAGTAAAAAGGATATTGTTTCATATTACAGCAGACTAAAGGATGTTGTTTAAATGGAATTCTCTTTGTTTCAGAAACCGGATTTGATGTGTCTTTCAGGAGATGGGATTTGTTTTATGTTACAGTATATAAATAGGATTTGTTTTATGTTACTGTAAATTGGATTTGTTTATATATTTCAGTTGATGGGGTTGCAATTGATAAAACCTCTATTAACATGCAAATAACGGATGTATCAAGAATAACGTCTCTTATATTTCATGTTAAAGCTTGTAGAGATGCACACTTCTTTTTCTATTCGGATTTATATCAGTAAGTTGACTGTGGTATCATTTTCTTCTCAAATAAATCTAGATGCAATAAGCGAGAGGATTTATCTATATAATATTATGTAAATGTAAAAAAATACTGGAGTTTCGGTAAATATGGTCTGCGTGATTCCGTATATAGTATTCCACTCACTCACAGTAAAATACAGATTTAGATGTTCTGTGGGACCCAATTGAAGTCTCCAACTTCTTCCAGATTTAAATGTCTGCTGATTAAGATATTTGAAACTCCATTAACGTTCATTCAACCTTCAAGGGCAGCTTGCATGTAATTGATTGAAAGACTGGCATACAGGTAGTGGAAATTAACTTCTGTCGACTGATAAGGACAGAAGATACTGTGCTCGGTTTTACACATCTTGATGCATCAATGCCCCAAAATCCTAAGAGATGTAATGGATCAAGATGGACTTTTGAATATTTTTTGTCATTTTATAGATTAGTGAAAATTGCCGTCTTGGGCAGTTCTGGTGATTGTGATATTAGACTTGGGTTAGAGACTTTTGAAGTTTCTGAACTATGTACTGTTGATTGTTATCAATTTAAGCCATTCTGGATAAGTTGGCAGTCAAATTATATGCGACTTGGTTATGGAAATATCGTCGACCAGCAGAGTGTTGTGTCAGGGACGTCACCACTCACGTTCAACTTAGCGTATCTATCATTAATGCGATATGAAAATTTCACTTGGGAAATAGAGTACCCTGGCAAAGATCCTGGAATACAAGGTAAGCTAGTATTCTTATTTGGAATGTAAACGATCTTTTGAATAGTGAACAGTCTTATCTATATTTACAATCTTGTAGCATCGCCTTTTAGTTTCAAATCAAGATGCATTTTTTCTTTCTAAGAGCCACGCCAATCGCCAATCTGTCGAAAAAATATTGACCCAAATGCTTCAAATACTGCCATAATAATTTTGCTATTTAATCATAAACACGGCGGATGCAAAGTTAATTCTCGAGCTATTTGAAAGCGAGATTCCTGGCAGTCGCAATACAAGTAAAATGAGGCTTTAAAGAACATAATTGAACAAAGAGTCTCCATTTTGCTTCCAAAATGCCTTTTGGTTGTCTTGTGTTTAAGAGTGTTGATAACTGAGCTTGAGAAACTTTCCATCTTCCGTTTGTCTATCTTAAAAACAGCTACAGCTAGCGGAATCCAAGCTGAGAAAACAATCAAGTATACTGAATGCCAATGATAATACATGTTATTAAAAGTCTCTTGGACCACCTAGTGTCATTTTTATTCCAGATTTCAAGTTTATAAGACATACCAACACACGATCAATGTCCATCTTGAATGTTCAAACCACAAGATCTGTGTCACTGTGTGGTATCTCCTGTAAGCTCTCAACAGATTGCTTTGGTTTCAACTATAATCCTAGTTTGAGCTACGATAACTGTGAACTTCTAACCTCTTTTCAGCTTATTGATAAGAATAACCCTGAATTACAATTACAGATAATTCATCCTTATGATTGGAATTTATACATTACCAAATTCCCTTAGAAATTCACATTTAAAATTGCTAAATTCTATCAATTATTCAGATTAAGCATCACCAAATTGTCTTAGAAATTCAGATTTAGTAATACATGTACCAATTTGACTATGAAATTCAGATTTAGTAATACCAATTTGTCTTAGAAATTCAGATTTAGCATTACCTAATTGTCTTAGAAATTCAGATTTAGCAATACCAAATCGTCCTAGAAATTAAAATTTAGCAATACTAATATTATAATATAATTACTTGCATCAGTAAGTCAGATTGAATATTATTAATTGATCAGTAATTTATATCCAATATTATTACTCGAATCAGTAAGTCAGATTGAATATTATTAATTGATCAGTAATTTATATTCAATATCATTACTTGAATCAGTAAGTCAGATTGAATATTATTAATTGATCAGTAATTTATATTCAATATTATTACTCGAATCAGTAAGTCAGATTGAATATTATTAATTGACCAGTAATTTATATTCAATATTATTACTCGAATCAGTAAGTCAGATTGAATATTATTAATTGATCAGTAATTTATATTCAATATCATTACTCGAATCAGTAAGTCAGATTGAATATTATTAATTGATCAGTAATTTATATTCAATATAATTACTCGAATCAGTAAGTCAGATTGAATATTATTAATTGATCAGTAATTTATATTCAATATTATTACTCGAATCAGTAAGTCAGATTGAATATTATTAATTGATCAGTAATTTATATTCAATATCATTACTCGAATCAGTAAGTCAGATTGAATATTATTAATTGATCAGTAATTTATATTCAATATAATTACTCGAATCAGTAAGTCAGATTGAATATTATTAATTGATCAGTAATTTATATTCAATATCATTACTCGAATCAGTAAGTCAGATTGAATATTATTAATTGACCAGTAATTTATATTCAATATTATTACTCGAATCAGTAAGTCAGATTGAATATTATTAAGTGACCAGTAATTCATATTCAATATTATTACTCGAATCAGTAAGTCAGATTGAATATTATTAATTGATCAGTAATTTATATTCAATATCATTACTCGAATCAGTAAGTCAGATTGAATATTATTAATTGACCAGTAATTTATATTCAATATTATTACTCGAATCAGTAAGTCAGATTGAATATTATTAAGTGACCAGTAATTTATATTCAATATTATTACTCAAATCAGTAAGTCAGATTGAATATTATTAAGTGACAAGTAATTTATATTCAATATTATTATTCGAATCATTAACTCAGATTGAATATTATTAAGTGACCAGTAATTTACATTTAATATTATTACTTGAATGAGATCTTCAGATTTTATATTATTACTTGAATGAGAAATTCAGATTTAATATTATAATTTGAATAGTAACTCAGATTTTATATTGATAATTGTGTCACTAATGCAGATTATACATTTATAATTGTATCAATAATTAAGATTTTACATTCATAATTGTATCAATAATCCAGATCTTACAAGTATATTTAACTTTTGAAGATTGTTAGAAGTATAGATAATTCAGATCTTAGATTATTAATTTATCTATATGTATCATTTATTCAGATTATAAATTATCAATTGTAAATAATTCATTTTTATATAATTGTGCCAATAATTAAGATTTTACATTATCAAATGTATAAATGATTTTGATTTGACATTATTAAAAGTATTATTAATTCAGATTTCACATTATTGATATTTAACCCAATAATTTTAATTTTGTATTATTAATTTATAAATAAATCTGATTTTACATTATCAATTCATAAACTAGAACTGTGGACAGGTCCGAGCGTGGCAACGAGACATTATCCCATGGATTTCGAACCTTTTGAAACGTCTAGCCTGTTAACTTTCAACTGTGTTGCTTTTAAGTCCCTAATTTGTGAATCAGAAATTAAAACTTTCGGGTATATCTAATAAATAAATCAAGTAAATATTACACTAGGACCACTCCAGAAATGTCACCTCAATACTATCAATTTGCAAAAAAAAATAATAGAACTTATTTATACTGCATCACGATAAACCTCTCAAGTGACAAAAAAACACACAAAAATCATCAGACCTTGCCACCAGTGATAGGAATTTGATCATATGACTTCTGTCGACGAACACAAGAAAATTTTGTCGTTGGGTTGACATTAAAATATTCCATTAACATCCTTTACATTGATTTATAGAGGGGTCTCAGAATGCAAGAGAGTATATTATGTTAATTTCCTGGAAAGGGTCCCCACTAACCAAGATGAGCCACTGACGGTCTTTAAAATGAAAAGTTTCCAAATTTTGTTGAAAGGAAGTGTACTCTCCAATTTATATCGTCTGCTAATTTAGGTTTCAAAGCGATACTCTCCTGTAGATGCATATTTTACAAGAATTAGATAAATTATTTTGTATTTTTAGTTCTAATTAAGATAAAAAAAAAATTCTAAAAGTTCAATAACTTCCGAATTCACATAAATGAATTCTATAAGGGTTAAAAATTTACGTAATTTGTTTTTTGGCTCACTGATTTGACAACAAGGTGTGAAAGTTCATACCACCAAATTTATTACCAATGTTGAATAATATCTTGTCAATTATTTTGACACATTATAGTAAAACATCTGTGTCACATATCATTAAAGAGAGAATTCCGAATGCATTCTAATAATGTAAACCATATTGATGTGGGATAAATACATTTAATGTAATACACAAAGTTTTACATTTTGAATGCAAGAAATTCCATCAAAATTTATCATATGAAACCAATATAAATAAGGGAAACTTTGATAAAAAATTTAAAAAAATGTGTGGCTCTTTATAATGCATACATAGGCAAGTTTGGCAAGGACTGCAAACCTTTTTAGTATTGAAAAGTGTGCACTTGTGCAATTCAAAACTTATAAAAAAAACAAAATCATCATAATAATTTTATGGTAATGTTTATAGTAACAAAGAAATTGTTTTCAAAGAAAACTAAGGCACAGATATTCGAGTATTGGCTAATAACTTGTTTTAAATAATCAAACTTTATTAAAAAATTATAACATATTAAAAAACAAAAGATACACATTGGAATAACAGTCACCTGATGAGTACATAATAATTATTTACTCTTTTCGAACTTTATATTTCCCACTTCTAAATTGACTAGCAAGTTGTCTGGTCTCATCAGTTATATCTTCAACATTCTGTTGAGCCTTTGTTAAGTAGCCATATCCTATAGACATTGTTACTATTGATAAACCTGAAATGCACAAACTACAAGTAAATACGTATAGAACTATTTTGGTCTACTGTTTAGTAACTACACAATATGCAATAATAAAATATTTTCACTGTTAAAATAGTGCTGAATATATCAATTATAGAGTGATATAGAAATATTAAAACAGAACTTGAATTACATTGTTACTCCGAATTTCATGCTTCAGATAACTGACATATTTTCAGCCTGCGTCCCTACTGAAGTTGGACATGTGGAACTTATTCACATCTTTACATTCTGAGACAAGATTGTGAATGAAATGACAAATGAAACAACATTTTGACTTTATACATTCAATTTGTAAGGACTGTTCAATAAAGCACACAAAAATCAATATTCTTGAGTAAGCCTAATATGTCAAAATTTAAATAGGATGGCTCATTTTCCAAGATATTTTGAGGCTTACATCCGAATTAACTAGCTCATACAGTTAAACCTGAGTTACAATTTAGTTCATACTCACTAGAAACTATTAAAGGTGCCATAACTCCAACACTGAAAGTTGCTGTTTTATATACTAAAACCTCAGATACAAAATGGCCTAAAGCCAAGTAAAATGAAAAATATGTTAAATGATATAATCTGAAATAAATGAAAATAAAATCAGAGTGAGAATTACATAAATAAATAAAATCAGAGTTAAAATAAAATAAATAGATAAAATCAGAGTTAAAATAAAATAAATAAAATAAAATCAGAGTTAAAATAAAATAAATAAAATAAAATCAGAGTTAAAATAAAATAAACAGATAAAAGCAGAGTTAAAATAAAATGAAATAAATAAAATCAGAGAATAAATAAAATAAGAGAAAAAATAAAATAAAATAAATAAATGAAATCAAGAGTTAAAATAAAAAAAAATAAAAAATCAGAGTTAGAATAAAATAAATAAAATAAAATCAGAGTTAAAATAAAATAAACAGATAAAAGCAGAGTTAAAATAAAATGAAATAAATAAAATCAGAGAATAAATAAAATAAGAGAAAAAATTAAAAAAAATAAATAAATGAAATCAAGGTTAAAATAAAAAAAAATAAAAAATCAGAGTTAGAATAAAGCTGATTACACTTTCTACATTCATTTAATTCAAAATGTAACATTTGTAAATTAAGATGGCTTCCCTTGTTTTCATTTTTGAAAATGAAAATACTAATACTTATATGAAAAGAAAGTAGAGGTATTCTTATGAATTGGAAAAATACCAGTATGTCTCACATATTAAAATATTAATTTGCTAAATTAGAAGAGAATTACCAGCAGAATTCCAATGAGTGACCGATCAAGAAAGATCAAATAGTCTTTTTTGTTTATCCAGACTGTACATGCATGGACATTTATGATTGAATAAAACTCTTTTATCAATTGAAATAAGAACATAATGATATGATTAAGAATATAAATGATAATCCATTAGATACACCGATTAATCAAAAAGTTGGGTTAATTTGACACTAAAAAATAAGGAAACCCATCTTTAAGGTACATGCATCTAGTCTACTGACTACAGTCTAAGGCATCTTGAAAATACTTATACCATGACTGCAATAGTCACCTTTCTTGTATCATGGATGTTTGTAGATGAAGAGATTTGATTGGATTGTACGCTAGTGAATACAGCCACTCAAAGACCTTGACAGAATCCAAAATGCCTTTCTGTGGAAGGCTCTTGATTGGATGTATTCGCTGGCTACAATCCAATCAAATCTCTCTATTCTGTGACAAAAGAATAGTGGCTATTGCAGTCAAATTATTAGTATAAAGTTCCTAAAGATTGACAATGTGAAGATGAGTCTTAGCTAGATAACATTGATGTGAAGTACATCAGAGCCTACAATAGAACTCTGCTTAAAATACTAGTTTAAATGACAGTCGGCCTAGACTTGGCTTTTAAGATCTACATGGATTTCACTTAATACTTACGCTATATTAAAAATATCTATTGCACAATAAAATCTTAAAGCTGCTGATAATAAAGTCCATATTCCAAATAAATTTGCTACCAATCCATTGACTTAAAATTCAAACATATGAATAAATAGTTATTTTATAAATAAACTGTAATAAAATCAAAAATAATTAAGAATCTAAAACTGCCCCTACTCCAGCTTGTTACATCCTAAGCCAACCCCAGTATAGACCAACCCTTCATTCCATTTTTTATTAGCTGATATTTTTAGCCACTTCAGTTAGGGTCTAATGACATCACTCTTGAATGTTTGTCAAATTAACATTTTGACTTAACCTGTTTAACACAGCATCACAATATTCCAATACTGGAAATGGTAGAAATTTGATCAGCTAAAGTGAGGCAGGGTGCATTTTTAAATAAACTTGGTTGTTTTATTCAATTGTTGTCTTATCTTAATAACCCGGTTACAATAGCAGATGTCATCAAGTAAGGTCAAAAGGTTAATTTGATGAACATTCAAGAGGGCTGTCGTTAGACCCTAACTGAAGTGGCTATATTAAAAATTAAAAGTTACCGTAATAAAAAAAGTGGAACATAGTAGGCCTATGTCATACCAAGTTTTTAAAAAAAGTCCTTTTCTTTTATCTGAAGAAGTTCTCAGTGAGGGTCTGAAAGCCAACACTGAGACAGCAGAATTTTTTTACAAGTTTGTACAACCAATGCTTCATTTAATTCATTTATGTAGATTGACTAGTAGGCCTTTTTCAATTTGATTTGATTTTGCTGTTGTCCAAAACATAATTTTCTTACCGTTTGCCTCAGGATTTACAGTGTAAAGTTTTGATTTTAGAAGTTGGGGGTCAACGAAACATTGAACTGTATTTCCTAAGGCCATGACAGCTACAAAACCTATCCATACCCTAAGATAACGAATGTATCTTTGTGGAAGAGATTCTCGGTCAGCCATTTTCAGTTGTCTGCTAGGGGCTCAGCCAGAAATAGTAGTCGATCCGTAAAAAAAACTTTTCTAAATGTGATTGTCGCAATAGTCTTTCATGTATTTTTTCAATCTTATATGTGACATTACTATAACATCTGTATCTCTAAAATTAGCGGGGTTTTTGTAAAGAAACATTAATTTTATTTTCTCTAACCCATGTAGAAACTGTATCACCATGATGTCGTGAACCGGAAATAAACACAATTGTGGTAACAACCAGTAAACAAATGGCGACTCCCACGAACAATAAATTATTTATTTAGAATATCGGTCGTCGTCTCTTTGAATCATGTAATTTAGAGATTGTAAGCAAAGGTAAGGCTTTCATTTGTAAAATCCTGTAAGTCTATTCAAAATAGCCCCGATATCCCCTCCCCTTCCTTGGAAAGAATGGAGGCTGCAAAAATGGCCGGACAAACACCAGAGGAGGGAGAGCACGTATTTGATTGATGATATGATCGACAATATGAGAATAGAATGCGAATAAAAAAAAGTACGAGGTAGTCCGAGAATCCATGACCAATACCCAAAAGGTCTTCATAGATCTATTTCTAAATAAAAGGACTAGGTTCGCAATTCGTTTGACCAATCGTATCATAGTTTCGGAAAAGGAATTTTTCAAATCCATGAGAATTATCCGTGATTAATAGTTAAAAAGATGACGCGTCTTTTCTTGAGACTACGCCACATTAGCTTAAAAGAAAACACATATATAGAAATAGCAAGTGAAGGTTGTTTTGAAGCAAGGAGTTATGCGATTTTCATATTTTTATTGTTCTTCTGAAGACTATTTACATACAGTCCTATTAAGGGGTGCAGTAGTAAATTGGTTATGGTCAGTTAGTACCTATACTGTTGTTATAGTTTCAAAGCTTATTAATAGACAAATTAATTATTTTAAGGTTAGACAATTGTCATCTTTAAGTACTAAATAAAATAAGATCACGCCAACATAACTATCTGGAGATGGTTTTAAGATATGTCATCTCATGGGAGGGACTCCCCACTTGGTAATTATGGTACATTAGTTAGAATCTCAGAGGAAGAAGACACTACGGAGGAATTGAACAAAGTTTCACCAGGTACCAGACACAACGGAGTGAAGAAGAAAAAGAAGAGGCGTCATTCTCTTCCATCCATGAAACCACCAACTCCAAGCTTACAAAAATACCCCACACAATCTTCTATAAAAAATAGAAATGATGATAATGAGGACGGGAAAGAAGAGAATGGGGTGTGGTTTTGGGTCAATAAAAGTGGTTTTCCCATTGATGAGTCTACATGGGATAGAATGTGGGATCATGTAGCTAAAAATCACCCGGGTGGATATAACATGGTGTGTGGTATCAGGAGTGCCAAGGACCTTCCGCAGGTAATCAACTTTTGAATTGAACCACACAAGAAATTTAGATACCAGTACAGAAAAGTTTGCTTGGATTAATAGGAATTAAGCTGTATTTACAAATAATTTAAATCAAATATCAAGTAAAGGTATGAACTTGTAGCATGTCAACTTGGTGTCTATCTCTAAATTTCAGGTTTCCACTTACTGTCTGTCTCTCAATTTCAGGTTTCCACTTACTGTCTATCTATAAATTTTAGGTTTCCACTAACTGTCTATCTCTCAATTTCAGGTTTCCACTTACTGTCTATCGTTTCCACTTACTGTCTTTCTTTAAATTTTAGGTTTCCACTAATTGTCTATCTTTAAAATCAGGTTAATACTTACTGTATATCTCTCAATTTCAGGTTTCCACTTACTGTCTATCTCTAAATTTCAGGTGTCAATTCCACAACCTCCTTATAATTTTCCTGTCAATATTTCTGTTGCTGATAAATTAGAAAAGATTCAAAACTACATGAGAGATTTACAGTATCCTTAACTATGAAATATATTTCTCTGTTTATTTCTAAGGTATTGATCTTTTTTTGAACGTGAAATTAAGCTCAAAATCTTGTTTTGGGAGATTGTTTTTTGATACTGTACGTAGCTTATATAAAAGAAGTAGGCCTCACTAATGAGCAAGGCTTTATGAATAATTTTTGTTTTACGGCAAATCTACTTTTAGAAGTCAGCTGTTGTGTTTGTCGACAAAATACATGAAATAAATAATTTTGGAATAATAAGAAGATTTTGTCAGATTAAAGGTCATAAAATAAATTCCTTAATGAAATATAGATATAATCATACTGGAACTCAATTTTTTGAAATAAAGAAAAACAGACCAATTTCAGGGTAAGTTTACTTTGTTCTGATGAATTGGACCAATCAGTCCTGAAATTTTTCAACTTTATATCACTATTGTGTATTATTATATAAAATGCCTCCAGATGCCCAAGATGATGTGAAATACCCAGACTATATCTTTATTATGAAATTATTAAAAAAGAAAGTAAGCTCATTTGTCCAGACAAAATGAACATTATAAGACAATGTCTGCTTCAAAAGGCTATTATGGTACAGATCAGTAGGATGTTAATTTGACTGAGTGTCAAGGTTTATTAACCTGAACACACATGATATCATAAATTAATTAGAAATCTTTAGGTACAGTACTGTCTTTCTACTTTTGTTGCTAAATCAGACTTATACTGATATTCTGAGATTGACTTTGTATTGAAACATATACATCACATATTTTCATTTTGAATTTTTTTCCACCGAGGATAATTGTGATCTAAATTTGGGTCAGAATTTCTAAGAGGAAATTTTTTATAAATGTACTCTAAGTTGTCAGTTGTATATTAAACTGATATTCCATTCACAAAAGAATTATAAGTCATATTTCATTTACCGAATTTTGTTCTTTAGGTTGATGGAAAGTGCTAGAGAAATGATAAGAGAATCTTTACCTATAAAATGTTTGGAAGCTGTTATTCTTGGCATGTATCCTTTGTAAACTCAGTCAGAGTGACATACTCTCACTTGTCACAATTCCATGATTGTAATTTGGGATTTATCAGAAATGTAGTATAATTTACAAACAAGACTTTTGAGTTGAAATTTGGCAGCTAGTGGATTTAGAGAAAAATTAAAAAGTCTTGAATTATGTATCTTAATAAAAACAATAAATCCAGATTTTATATCTACAGTTAGAGATCAAAAATATACTTCTTTTTTGACAAAGTTTCCCTCTTTGCATACTGCATGGTGTTTACATAAGCCAGTGATGGTGCAGTATTTGAGTACCGGTACATATATATAAATCTACATTTAGTATGTTAAAGTTTCTTTAATTTGCTGAGATTTTTAACTAATGGTATGATGGGAGTGGAGAGATTTGCTATTAGTTTTAAAAGTACATTCGGTAGTCATGTACATCGTCATGTTGTATTAGGTATTTACTATGGTGGACTATATGGTGCTATTGGTATGAGTCGTAGAGAAGAGTTAATGTATAAACCTTTAATTTATAAGGTAAATTTTGGATTCCTTAAAGGGACAGATGCACCATTTTTTTTTACCAATCGTACATTAATCTCAGAAACAGGAATTTTTGAACAAAGCCAATCAGTAATAATGTTCACAGCTCACAGTCGAAATTTGAGCTTCCAAATCCATGTGTGTCTAGAATTATCCGCATATATTATAGTTATAATAAAAAAATCACATTCAGCAATGAAGGTATTGAGCATAATTTCTAATATAATAATATTGAAGGAAATACACGTAGGGACGCAAGGACGTCGTAGAATTAACATAAAATTGAAGTTCTCAAGAATGGTCAATATGATTATATATTCATCAGTGAACTTACCTGGTGTCATAAAGTTACAACAGAATCCCTGTAAAATCTGTAAAATCTGGAAAATTCATAAAACTAAGTAATTATTGAAAAACGATTTATCTAGATATTAAGCTTTTTTCAATAGCTAATTGCATATTTATTGATAATTACTAAGTTTTTTAGATTTATCGGATTATATAAGGGTCCTGTTATGTTATTTATGATACCAGGTATATCTACTTGCTTTTATTCGCCAAGTTTAAAATTCTTAAATTTTATGTTCATTCTAAGAAGTAGTATCTCTTTAAAATAGGTCAGTTGTCTGAAAATTGCATAGCTTGAAACTCTTGAGTAATAACATGTTCTGTTCTGTTCTAATATTTCTATGTAAGCCTAAATGTTTTCTTCTTTTATTTCTAGAATTTATCAGATTTAGTTTTAGATTTTGAAAGTAATTATATTAAATGTAAGTACACTTATTAACTTTGCTTGAAGGGCCTTAAGATCAAGCACTTATAGGAACATCAGACAAAATGTAGAAAACCTCTCTACAGTCTCTTTAATTATCCCAACCAAATATACTTCAGTAGAACCTACAACTTCCTATCAAAGTTAAGCTCATTTGCCCATAACAAGGAAGGACAGAAACAATTTTCACATCAATTTTTCATGTAATAATTAGTACTGGCACGATATTTCGGTAAATCGATGTATCACTATCCAGCATGCCACAATACACGTAGAGATACTTAACAATACCTCTCATTCCATAAACAAAATGTGGGTGTGTTGTTATTGGTTCTATGGAATTTTTTTCACTGAAATATTTTATAAGACATTGGACATTAACCACTCTCTTCAACTATATTATCAAATATCACAGTTACAAGGTTATAAATTAATATAAATTGAACCTTTGGAGATAAAGTGTTAACTTGTATCCCATTTCCCCATATCGCAATACGTATCGTATCCTGACCTTGTATCAAGCTACATATCGTATCTTGGTATGATTGGTGATACCTAGCACTAGTATTCAATTTTCTGTCTTTATTTCAGTTTATCATAGATTAAATAAAATTAAAGTTGGATTACCCATACCACATGATCCTCATAGTTTTGAACCAATTCCTTGGAAGGTAAATTGAAAAACTATTCTATTTGTTACACTTTGGGTGACTCAAAAAGTAATACAGAAACCAATTTTTTTTTTTATTAAATCCTGCAAAGATCCAAAGGGGCATTTTTTTTTTTTTGGTAGGTCAAAATTTTTTTGCTCAAATTAATGAAAATGATATACCAAAATCCAGAGAAATGTGTGTCTGGATTTATCTGTAAGTTGTAACTAAAAAATCCTTCTGTTAATTTTTAAACACCAACATTATTCAAAAGGTTTACATAAACTTTAATAGTTCATTGTGCTTTTTGGGAGGTGTAAGAAAACTGCTGTGTGGATCTAAGCAAAAGAAATGCCTTATTGTAGAGAAATATGTCTCCCACGTATTTTAAAGATTTCATAGATAGCAAAAACATAACATGAAAAACTAGATTTTAAAGAAAGGATCAAATGGTTTTTGGTGATTTTTCATTAGGTTATCAATGTCAATGTTGCTAAAACAAGAAGAAAAGACATAGTTAAGGATTTAGATCAACATGCTCGTGAAATAAGGACTAAAGCTAGATCATGGAGTATGCCAGCAAGTGTCAATAAAAAGATGAGTCCACTCATAGACACATTAGGTGGAAATCATCTCAAAACAAATCAGCAAGCAACAAAATCTTCACCATCTTCGTAAGTTTTTTAGCTTTATACTGGGTAAAATCTTGCTCTGCTAAATTTTTATTCAGCTTGATGAGACTGCAAGTTTGATGAATGTTTGACAGTCCTAATGGCAGGATGAGATCAGGTGTTCTGAAAAGAAGAACCTACCCTGCCCAACACCTGCCACATATTCATTTTAATGGAGTATGTAACATTATGATTAATAGTCAATTATAGATGTCAATATGTTTTCCAGTCAACCCAGCTGTTGTTTGGGTATTGGAAATTTCATTGCTAAAAGGTTTGACCACCAAAGATCACACATAATGAACACTGAATATTTCAGATCGGTTCCTGCAGTTGGGAGTGCTAAAACATCTTCAGTGAAAGTTAACAATGGCACATCATCAGGCTATAACAGTAGTTCTTCAGTTGGAATTCTAAAAAATGGCACAACATCAGGGTACAGTGCTACTGAAAACAGTATTACAAACATTAGTGAGCCGAATAGTAATGGTAATGGTACTTTAAATGGTAATTCTAGTGTCGGTAGTGGTGGTAATGGTACCACTTTGGATGGTAACAGTGTAACTAATCATGGTAGTAATGGTAGCAGTACTGATACAAGTGATACTGCTGAAGAGGGTATAAACAATGAAGTGTCAGTATTAAATCCTGTGAGTCAGGGAACTAATAATGTTCAAGTGGTTGAAACCCTGGATCAGGTTAATCTCACCAAGCAAATCACTGAATCTCTCTCCAATTTTACTGTAGGATCTTCAGAATATTTATTAAGAATATGAATAAATGGATGAGATGCAGAAACAACCATTTAAAAGAAAAGGTATATTGATGGTGATCGCTGCTGAGATTTCTAAGGGTAAAACTCAACTATTTAACTGTGGCTTTCAGAGCTCATACTTTAAGGTCCATGGTTGACCATTTTTGGGCTCGGTTTGGGTCTTAAATATAAGCAAATAGTCTTTAGAAATACTAGTACAGTACAAAAATGGTGTTATTCCTTCAAAAATACCTCAAACTAGGAATTTCCTTATTTTTGGTTAAAGTTATACATGTAATAGGAAAGATTTTATATGGATGATGTTTGATTATCCAGTCCTTAACAGTTGTACATTATGGCAATGCCTTGAAAAAGGCGAGATGTCAATGTAATTTTCGAACACGGATGATTAATGATAAAAATGGTTTAAAGACGGTTAAAACACTAAATTACTGATTAGCTTAGCTTAGTATTTCCCATTTCTAAGACCATTCCATAATTGACTGCTGAAGATGGTCAACCATGCCTTTAGCATTGTGTAGCATGACATCATTATGCCAGAAAAATGGGGTATATTTAAATTTCTTTCTCTGGCTGATGAGAAGAGTAAAAGGCAATTTTTATAACAGTATTTTTTGTATATATTTAAGATTATTAAGAAAACTGTGATATATTTAATTATTGCTCAAATATCTCATTTTATATCAAATATACATAAGATATGAAAAGTTTTATCTTTATCAATTTTTTAGGTTTAACCTGACAAAAATTATACAGAATTTTACATTTAGAAGTTGAAGATTTTAAATTTTGAGATTTGTATCTTTTATATTAAACATTTTATATTATATTTTAAAAAAATTATTTGATATGCATAAAATATTTTTAGCAGAATTCTCATGAATTTCTGATATTTTACATTAAAGATCCATAATTATATATCATACATTACAGTAACTGGTTTTGCTCATTTTAAGATATGTATATTATATGATTACATATAGACCAGTTGTCTGTAGATTGCAGTTGCACTCAGTTGCAGACTGTTTTAATATTTCTATAATTACACATAGATTATAGTACAATAATAATATACTTTCACTATTAAAATAGTCTTCAATACAATAATATTATAGAGTGATATAGTAATATTATAACAGAACTTGGATCATGTTGTTACTCAGAGTTTCACGTTATGTGATCTTCAGACAACAGATATCATATTTATAATATTAAGCAATATTTTAAATAGGAATATTATCTAGGCAAGATTTTAAAAGGACAGATTCGCCATTTAAAGGGGTTGTTTTGGGAGCTTATTGATATGAAACTGTTGCCAAATTTCTCAACCCAATACCTGCAAATAGAAGATGAGAATTAAAGTACAGCAAGAAATATGAATTGTATGAGAGCTTATATTCAAGGTGATATAACTAGGCAAGAATATCATTTATTACAGTTTATGACATCAGAGGGCTAATACCAATCATTAAGTGTAGTAATTTTCTCACATTTTTATGTTGTATTTTTGACCTAATTTATGTTGTTATTAAGTACAATGTGTTATGAATTTTTCAGTATTAAAATACTTGTAGTTTACTGCAGTCAATATACTTCTGTTTTGTACTACAGCGGGTGTGGTAAGTGAGGCATACTCACTTATCTTGAAAACTGATGCCACCTTTTGACTAGATTTCTACTTCTGGAATCCACATGGGGCATATTTTATCAACCCTGAGACAAATTCAAAAAGCTCACTGTGAAAATCAACCTTTTCAGTAAATATATTTAAGGTAATGCTTTGTTTTGGTTCTAATAAATTGTAGGCCTGTTATAATGTCACACACTATTAAGATTTTGATTGAATATTGTAATGTGTCTCAGTCCTAGTTGTGAGTTTATAAACAGTATTAAAGTTGTATAAAACTGATGATGTGATAATATTGTTATGTATTTCAGTTATGTATTTTTTTTTTCATTTTTTGATTTCCTGTATTGGATGCAATTTTATAGATTCTGAATAATGTAAAATCTGAATTATTGATACAAGTTATAATATAAAATCTGAATTATTAATGCAAGTAATAATATAAAATCTGAATTATTACTACAATTAATAATGTAAATTCTGAATTATATTAATACAATTAATAATGTAAATTCTGAATTATATTAATACAATTAATAATGTAAAATCTGAATTATTGATACAAGTAATAATATAAAATCTTAATTATTAATACAACTAATAATATAAAATTAGATTTATTTAGACACTATATGATTTAACATCTGATTTATTGATACAATTGATAATGTAAAATCTGATTTATTGATACAATTAATGATGTAAAATCTGATTTATTGATACAAGTAATAATATAAAATCTGATTTATTGATACAATTAATGATATAAAATCTGATTTATTGATACAATTAATAATGTAAAATCTGATTTATTGATACAAGTAATAATATAAAATCTGATTTATTGATACAATTAATGATGTAAAATTTGATTAATTGATACAAGTAATAATATAAAATCTGATTTATTGATACAATTAATGATGTAAAATCTGATTTATTGATACAAGTAATAATATAAAATCTGATTTATTGATACAATTAATGATGTAAAATTTGAGTTATGGATACAATTAATGATTATAATTAAATATATAATCTGAACTATTGATACAATTAATAATGTCAAATTTGATTATTTGATACAATTAATGATGAACTATTTGAATTATTGAAGCAATTGATAATGTCAAATCTGATTTATTGATAAATTAATTGATGTTAAATCAGAATTACTGATACCATTAATAATATATTATTATAACCTAATTTATTGATACTATTAACTGTTTTAAATTTGAATTATTGATAAAATTTATACTGTAAAATCTGATTTAATTATAATTAAAAATGTAAAATCAGGCTTATTTATGAATTAATAATTTAAAATCAGAATTATTGGATAAAAAAATTAAACGTGTAAAATCAGATTTATTTATAAATTAATAATTTAAAACCAGAATTATTGGACAGAATTTACAATGTGAAATCAGAATCATTTATGCATTTAATAACGTAAATCTTAATTAATTACAAAAATGTAAAACTGCATTAACAGTAATCTGAAAAAATGATACAATTAATAATATATAATCTGAATAAATGTTACAATTAATAATATATAATCTGAAAAAATGATACAATTAATAATATATAATCTGAATAAATGTTACAATTAATAACATTTAATCTGAATAAATGATACAATTAATAAAATCTGAAATATCTATATGATTAACAATCTTCAATGTTGAATATACTTAAAAAAAATCTAAATTATTGACACAATTATGAATGTAAAATCTGAATTGTTGACGTTATTATAAATGTAAAATCTGAATTAATGACACAATTATGAATGCAAAAAAATGATTTATTGACACAATTGATAATAAATATTCTGAATTAGTGACACAATTATGAATATAAAATCTGAATTGATAATACAATTAGCGATAAATTATCTGAAGCTATGTTACAAAAAGGTCAAATTAACAATCTTTATTAGTTATATACAAAATAGAAATAATTTATTCATATTAGAAATATCACCTATAACAGTCCTGAAAATATTAAATATTACAATTGATACAATATCCCTGTGATATTGCAGAAGTGCTAAATCTGCATTTCTAAGACAATTGGAAATGCTAAAAATTAGTATCTAATACAATTTAGTAATGCCAAATCTGAGTTTCTAAGACAATTTGGTGATACTAAATCTGAATTTCTTAGACAATTTAGAAATGCTAAAAATTAATATGTAAGACAATTTAGTAATGCCAAATCTGAGTTTCTAAGACGAATTTGGTAATAATAAATCTGAATTTCGTGGACAATTTGGAAATGCTAAATCTGAAATTCTTAAACAATTTGGAAATGCTAAATCTGAATTTCTTAGACGAATTGGTATTACTAAATCTGAATTTCTTACACAAATTGGTATTACTAAATCTGAATTTCGGTGATGCTAAATCTGAATAATTGATAGAATTTAGCAGTTTTAAATGTGAATTTCTAAGGGAATTTGGTAATGTATAAATTCCAATCATAAGGATGAATTATCTGTAATTGTAATTCAGGGTTATTCTTATCAATAAGCTGAAAAGAGGTTAGAAGTTCACAGTTATTGTAGCTCAAACTAGGATTATAGTTGAAACCAAAGCAATCTGTTGAGAACTTACAGGAGATACCACACAGTGACACAGATCTTGTGGTTTGAACACTCAAGATGGACATTGATCGTGTGTTGGTATGTCTTATAAACTTGAAATCTGAAAATGAGTAAGTACAAGAGCACAGTTAGAAAAAATTGCGGATGTCATTTTTGCCTCCTGACAGATCAAAATTAACCTTTTCATCGATCATTTCCCCACCTCTTGCCATCTATATTCTGGCGGAATACATATCACGTTCGGAGTTATTTGATAATCAACCAAATAGCCTATGTGAGTTCACTTACATGTAAGTGCTTTTCATAAGATTCTAGATAGTGAGTATAGTAACTCGCAGAGAGAGATGATTCAAAACATCTTGATTTATATAAATACAGTTCAATTAAGATGGAAAATGTTTTTAAATGAATTCTTACCTTGTAATCCAGTATTATTTCCAGGGTACTCTATTTCCCAAGTGAAATTTTCATATCGCATTAATGATAAATACGCTATATTGAACGGCAGTTGTGACGTCCCTGACACAACACTCTGCTGGTCGACGATATTTCCATAACCAAGTCGGATATAATTCGACTGCCAACTTATCCAGAATGGTTTAAATTGATAACAATCAACAATACATGGCTTATAATTCTCATAACTGTAAAAATCAGGTCTTATATCACAATCACCGGCACTGCCTAAGACGATAATTTTCACTAATCTATAAAATAACAAAAAAATAACAGAATGTCTAAAATTCCATCTTGATCCATAACAACTATTGGGATCTTCGGGCAATGATGTATCGAGATGTGGAATACCGAGTACGGGATATATTTCTGGCCTTATCAGTCGACATAAGTTAATTTCCACTACCCGTATGCCATTCCAGAAAGAAAATACGATAGTCTTTCAATAAAATAAATGCGAGCGGCCTTTGACGGCCTAAATGAACGTTAATGGAGTTTCACAGATCTTAATTAGAAGAATTTTAAATCTGGAAGTAGTTGGCGACTCCAATTGTGTCCCACAGAACATCTAAATCTGCATTTTACTTATACAATATACCGATAAATTCCCACGCCATGCAGACCATGTTTACCGAGACTCCAGTTTTTTTTTACAATTATACAGATGAATCCTTCCGCTTATTCCATCTAGATTTATTTGAGAAGAAAATGATACCACAGTTAACTTACTGATATAAATCCGAATAGAAAAAGAAGTGTGCATCTCTACAAGCTTTAACATGAAATATAAGTGACGTTATTCTTGATACATCCGTTATTTGCATGTTAATAGAGGTTTTATCAATTGCAACCCCATCTACTGAAATATAAAAAAAACAATTTACGGTAACACAAATCCCATTTATATGAATTTATTATAAACAATATCCTACTTGTTCTAATAAAAGAAATATCCTACTTACTGTATACAATACCCTAATTATTGTAATATAATATACAATATCCTACTTGCTGTTTTATAAAAAATATCATACTTACTGTAATATAAACAATACCCCATAGACTGTAATATTAACAATATCTATAGAATGAAAAATACCCTACTTACTGTAGTATAAACAATATCTCATAGCTTGCTGTAATATAAACAGTATCCTACTTGTTGTAATATGAACTGTATTATACATAATAACATATAAACAGTATCCTACTTGTTGTAATATGAACTGTATTACAAATAATAACCTACTTGCAGTAATATAAACAATATCCTATAGCATGCGGTGTAATAAACAATATCCTACTTGCAGTAATATACACAATATCATATAGCTTGCTGTTATATGAACAATATCATTCCTGCTATGATATAATCAATATCTTACTTTTTGTAATATAAACAGTGTCATACTTACTGTAACATAAACAATATGCTATAGCTTGCTGTAAAATAAACAGAATCCCACTTACTGTAATATCAACAATATCCTACTGTTACATAAACAATATCCTACTTGCTGGATTATAAACAATATCTTACTTACAGTAATATACGCAATATCCCATAGCTTGCTGTAATATACACAATATCCTACTTGCTGTAACATAAATAATATCCTACTTAATGCAATATAAACAATACCCCACATATTGTATAATGAAGAATATCCTATGTACTGTACTATAAACTTTACCTTACTAACTATAATATAAACAATATCCTACTTACTGTAACATAAACAATATCATTCTTACTGTAATATAAACAATATCCTACTTACTGTAATATAAACAAAACCCCACTTACTTTTGTATGAACAATACCCCAATCCCACATACTGTACATATAAACAATATCCTATTTTTGCTGTAATATAAACAGTAAAACACCTACTGTAATATAAACAATATCGCACTTGTAATAGAAGTAGTATCCTACTTACCGTACTTGTTCTAATATAAGTAGTATCCAAGGAGCTGTAGTATCCCACTTGCTCTTTTATATACAACATCCTACTTGCTGTCATATAAACAATATCATACTTGCCGTAATAGAAGTAGTATCCTACTTACACTACGTGTTCTAATATAAACAGTATCCCACTTGCTCTTTTATAAACAGCATCCTATTGTAATTTTAACAGCATTCTACTTGCTGTAATATTAACAATATCCTACTTGTCGTAATATTAGCAGTATCCTGCTTACTGTAATATAAACAGTAACTTACTTGTTCTAATACAAACAGTCTCCCAAATGCTGTAATGTAAGCAGTATCCTACTTATTATTATATAAACAATCTGTAATACTTAGTGTAATATATATAAACAGTAACCTACTACCAGGCAGCTGGCAGACAATAGAGTTGTGCTTCAAGGCATCATTGATTTAAAGAATTAAAATTTGGCTTTGACATTTTCTTAAAGTTTGACTAACGAATCAATATGATTGCAATACATAAAAGAATATATAGATTTTCAATTTTGTACGAGTTGTTTGATATGACTAAACGTTTTGGGATTTGGACGTTTAAATAAGCATTTAAAAATTAAAGAGAAAAGTGTGAAATCAAGTCGATATTATTTTGGTATGTGTTCGAAACTAATGTACGGATTTAACCAAATTAAACACCAAATTGAGTCTCCTTCTTATTTCAAAGATTTCAATTAAAAATATATATAGCTGTTGATGCATAATACAATGAAAATGGTATCGCTCAGTCGTTAGAGATTTGGTTTGTCGTCTGTTAGCGATTAGATGCCGTGGGTTCGAATCATCCTCAATGTGAAAATAAATCTGATTTCTGTGCCATTGCATATATACAGATTGTATAACTAATCACTGACTGAATCAAACCACACAACATATACAGATTGTATAACTAACCACTCTCTGAATCAAACCACACAACTTATACAGATTGTATAACTAATCACTAAGAATCAAACCACACAACATATACAGATTGTATAACTAATCACTAACTGAATCAATCCACACAACATATACAGATTGTATAATTAATCACTAACTGAATCAAACCACACAACATATACAGATTGTATAATTAACCCCTAACTGAATCAATCCACACAACATATACAGATTGTATAACTAATCACTAAGAATCAAACCACACAACATATACAGATTGTATAACTAATCACTAACTAAATCAAACCACGCAAAATATACAGATTGTATAACTAATCACTAAGAATCAAACCACACAACATATACAGATTATATAACTAATCACTAACTGAATCAAACCACACAACTTATACAGATTGTATAACTAATCACTAACTGAATCAAACCACACAACATATACAGATTGTATAACTAATCACTAACTGAATCAAACCACACAACATATACAGATTGTATAATTAACCCCTAACTGAATCAAACCACACAACATATACAGATTGTATAACTAATCACTAACTGAATCAAACCACACAACATAATAACAGATTGTATAACTAATCACTGACTGAATCAAACCACACAACATATACAGATTGAATAACTAATCACTAACTGAATCAAACCACACAACTTATACAGATTGTATAACTAATCACTAACTAAATCAAACCACACAATATATACAGATTGTATAACTAATCACTAACTGAATCAAACCACACAACTTATACAGATTGTATAACTAATCTCTAACTAAATCAAACCACACAATATATACAGATTGTATAACTAATCACTAACTGAATCAAACCACACAACTTATACAGATTGTATAACTAATCACTAACTAAATCAAACCACACAATATATACAGATTGTATAACTAATCACTAACTGAATCAAACCACACAACTTATACAGATTGTATAACTAATCACTAACTGAATCAAACCACACAACATATACAGATTGTATAACTAATCACTAACTGAATCAAACCACACAACTTATACAGATTGTATAACTAATCACTAACTAAATCAAACCACACAACATATACAGATTGTATAACTAACCACTGACTTAACCAAACCACACAACATATACAGATTGTATAACTAATCACTGTCTGAATCAAACCACACAATATATACAGATTGTATTACTAATCACTGACTGAATCAAACCACACAATTTATACAGATTGTATTACTAATCACTAACTGAATCGAACCACACAACATATACAGATTGTATAACTAATCACTAACTGAATCAAACCACACAACATATACAGATTGTATAACTAATCACTATCTGAATCAAACCACACAACATATACAGATTGTATAACTAATCACTAACTGAATCAAACCACACAACATATACAGATTGTATAACTAATCACTAAGTGAATCAATCCACATATACATATTGTATAACTAATCACTAACTGAATCAAACTACACAACATATACAGATTGTATAACTAATCACTAACTGAATCAATCCACATATACATATTGTATAACTAATCACTATCTGAATACAACCACACAATATATACAGATTGTATAACTAATCACTATCTGAATCAAACCCTAAAATAAACTTACCCACTAGAAACCATAATCCAAATGATAGTAACTTGTATAACATTTTCAATCTTCTTAGAACCAGTTTATTTGATTTTTGTTAAAATATTTCCAGCGACAATTCGATGTTTAAAGAGATTCTGTCTTCCTTTTGACACTGTTGGATTGAATTCTATGTTTATATAATATATAATAATAATGATAAACCCGGAATTAACATTGACAGCACTATTTACCACACATTTATGGTGTTCCTCTTTTATTGTTAGAAACTTATTGTTTTTACTGGAAGTCATACGACAATCAATGAATTGTTTATTACCAATCGCAGGGAAAATGACCGGATGGAATTTAAAAGAATTATTCTAAAGCCTATAGTTCATCTTCTGAAAAATTCACTTCCTTGATCCCAGAAAGCGAGTATATATGCTACATTCATAACTATGTACAGCGACAGTGTCATATTGGGAAAAAAGATGATTATGAATCTACAGACCAAGTTTTATTCAAATCAACTGGAAATTAAAGGAGATATAACATTTTCAATTTTGTTTAAATTGTCGAAAACTTCATGTTTTGATCAATATTCAATATACCTACATAATATATAAATCTACAATTAGTTGAAAGTACTGTGCGAGATCAAAGTGACTAATATCGAGAATGGTACTCGGAAAACTCCCAGATTCCAATTTCATTACACCCCACTCGGAAAACTCTCAGATTCTAACTTCATTTCACCCGACTCGGAAAACTCTCAGATTCTAACTTCATTTCACCCGACTCGGAAAACTCTCAGATTCTAACTTCATTTCACCCGATTCAGAAAACTCTCAGATTCTTAATTCATTTCACCCGATTCGGAAAACTATCAGATTCTTACTTTATTTCACTCAACCCGGAAAACTCTCAGATTCTAACTTCATTTCACCCGATTCAGAAAACTCTCAGATTCTTAATTCATTTCACCCGATTCGGAAAACTCTCAGATTCTTACTTTATTTCACTCAACCCGGAAAACTCTCAGATTCTATCTTCATTTCACTCGACTCGGAAAACTCTCAGATTCCAACTTCATTTCACCCGATCCTCGGAAAACTCTCAGATTCTATCTCCATTTTACCCGACTCGGAAAACTCTCAGATTCTATCTCATTTCACCCGATCCTCGGAGAACTCTCAGATTCTATCTTTATAACACCCGATCCTCGGAAGACTCTCAGATACGAACTTCATTTTACTCAACTTGGAAAACTCTCAGATTCTAACTTCATCTAACCCGACTCGGAAAACTCTCACATTCTAACTTCATTTCACCCGATCTTCGGAAAACTCTCACATTCTAACTTCATTTCACCCGACTAGGAACTCAGATTCTAACTCCATTTCACCCGATTCGAAAAACTCTCAGATTCTTACTTTATTTAACTCAACTCGGAAAACTCTCAGATTCTATCTTCATTTCAACCGACTCGGAAAACTCTCAGATTCTAACTTCATTTCACTCAACTCGGAAAACTCTCAGATTCTAACTTCATTTCACCCAATCCTCGGAAAACTCTCAGATTCTAACTTCATTTCACCCGACTCGGAAAACTCTCAGATTCCATCTTCATTTCACCCGATCCTCGGAAAACTCTCAGATTTTAACTTCATTTCACCCGACTCGGAAAACTCTCAGATTCTATCTTCATTTCACCGAAATTGGAAAACTCTCAGATTCTAACTTCATTTCACTCAACTTGGAAAACTCTCAGATTCTAACTTCATTTCACCCGACTCGGAAAACTCTCAGATTCTAACTTCATTTCACTCAACTTGGAAAACTATCAGATTCTAACTCTATTTCCCCCGTCTCGGAAAACTCTCAGATTTTAACTCTATTCCACCCGATCCTCTGAAAGCTCTCAGATTCTAACTTCATTTCACCCGATCCATTTCGTTTTCTCTGCTAGTAGCCTATATAACTATGAAAGGTTTGCCAGTAATTAAGGTCGAAAGGCGTCACATTGCTGTTTTTACTAACCCTTTAGCCTGTTACTAGTGGTGGTCTTAAGAGGACGAAGATAATGTATTAATTCATGTAAAAGAATAAACAGAGAACACTATCTTCTGGTATTGTATCATAAGATTTAGTTTGGAAACTGACAAAATTGATAATTAACAATAATATAAGAATATTTTAATAATAAAACACTATCACAGACAATAATAATTTTTCAAACCAGTTTATATTGCCAACGTTATGTGCAATTATTTGTAACAAAGGAATTATTCTGCAATAACTGGCCATAACCTTTACAGTTTTCGCTCAAAAAACTGATATAATTAAATATTATATTTGAAATTACTTCACAAAAAATACATCTGTCCAAATTCAATAACTTGTCTGAAAATGGCAGAAGTCACAATTTTGTGTGCAAGGATTAAATTTTTTAATCGCAAAGGACCTCAAGTGATAAAGCATATTTAGAGATTAGAGACGTCATAAAACACTAAGTTTTGGTGGAATTACAGGTACCACAGACGTCTGACTGAAAATTGAGATGGTGAAAATTGATACTATCATTGTCACCGATACACACAAAAAGTTTAGAAAAAACCTCTTTATCCCTTTATGGACAATTATACTTGCAAGGCGCAGATTTAAATCGCACTGGGAAATTTCTTTGGTGGACTTCTCTCAGCGGAGTTTTTATTTTTTGTATTTTCCTCGTTGTTGTTTAAGGCAGTGGAGGGTTTATTTGTAGGGTTTTTCTCTTTGTAATTTACGGCATTTTTATATTTCCAATTCGGGTATTTAAATATACGCCTTTTAACTGGATTTTTCTCTTTGGTATTCACTGAAGTCAAGGGTTTATTTTTTTGATTTTTGTCGTTGGTATTTACAGCAGCAGAAGGCATATTTTCAGAATTTTCTTCTTTGGCACTTAAGGTAGATTTGCGTTTAGCTAATTCTTTTTTCAATATTTGATTTTTGATGGCTGATTCTGTAGTTCGTCCTAAAATATTTTGGGCCAGTTGCTCCACCATCACCTCCTCGGCATCTTTTGGCTTCAGTTGTTTTGTTATATTTTCTCGAACCTGTTGGATTTTTTCTGAAAGCGAGTTAGGGATTGGTTTTCCTTGTTCTTCAGCTTCACTTCCTGGATGTTTAACTTTGATGACCTTTTGTACCTGATCCACCACTTTGTTCTCTTTTTCTCTGTCCTTTACAAGTGAGTTCACTTTATTCTCAATATCTTGAATTGGTTTTGGTTTATTGGTTTTTATATCAGGTTTTTCTTTCTCTTCTACTTTATTTTCTTCGTTTTCAATTGGTGTCAAATTTTCTTTTGAGAGACTTGATACACTTTCTGAGGTTAATCTGTCCAATGCTACACCCAAGGATGAAGCTCTATCTGTCAACTGAAAAAATCACATCATTTCAAAATTAGATTTAGATAATCACATAAGCTTATACTGCCTGGCTTCAATTAGTCTGTTTGATAAATTTTTATTTTAACACTTATCTGAACAAGCTTGTCAGTTCTTTATGTAGCATGGATATAATATGCCCGTCATCCATTCGACATCCCTTTATTTTCTTTGAACTCTTCCAAACATGCATACTTTCAATCCATATGAAACTGTATTATGCATGATTAGAAGAGCTCAGTATCAAAATAGGGGATGTATTTTTTAATTCCCTTTAAATTTATTCCAGTCTAGTTATATTTAGTTTAGTTAGTCATGTATATAACATGCTAATGTCGATATGGGCAAGATCCTCTTTTCAAAGTTCCTCCCCATAATCAAACTCTACAAGATATCCTTTGCGCCATGTTCCTCCTTAGATCCAATGTCTACAAGGCATTTGGTAATGATCTTCCTAAGGCTGATTTGTTTAGTCAGGAGGCCTGAATTTATCTGGTTGTATCTCATGATTTTTACCACTGTAGTAGTTGCGAAGCAGACCATGCTCAGTCTTTTCGAAACCCCTGATGGTGGTGAGTTCACCAACACACAACTTCTACACTCGATTTTGTCATGCTTTGGGTGGGATTTTTATTACCAGAATTGTCTTGCTTGTACGGATTTTTTTTCTTAAGGTCTGGCATGAAGGTGGCAGCATTCAATAACTGCGACATCAAGCTTTGACAGTCAAAATTTCTAAGAAATAAAACACGACTACTTTCTGGTCAAGAAAATTCTTTCAGGGAAGCAACAAATGTTATGTAAAATCTATGTATGTATATAAATACAATAAAACTGATAAAGAGAAAAAAAAAACTAACCGATTCTCCTTGATTCTCATCTAACTTTCGTTTTAGATGTTCACCAATGGTGTTGATAGAGTCGTCAAAATGAGAGATATCTTGTTTGAGCTGAACTTGATGTACTTCTATATTATGTACAACTTCTAATATTCTCTTGTACACATCTTCTAATACATGTATCTTGTTCAATGCATTGCTCTGTAAACAGATAAGCAATATAAGACTTATAAGCTTATATGTTTTCAATACGTATGATAAAAACAAGGTCTAACTATACGGGGCCTATGCTTCTGGGATGTGACATGACGTCTGCTTTCATCCCTGATACCTATTAGCCACGGTAGCTCCCATAAACCACCAAAGAAAATTTCTCACCTGTTCTTTTCTCATATTATCAAAGATTTGTTGGGTATGTCTATGAGCTAGAGCTACAGCAGTTATACCAGCTTTATTGGATTGGTCACTCAATTTAACATTGACTATATCTTTAATTAAATTTGCTAATTCATTGTGTGAGCCCTTAATACTCTTCTCTAGTTCTTCATTAGATCTTCTTAAAAATGCAACATCATTCTTTAGCGTAGTTAATGTTCTAAGTCTTTCCATATTTGCTGAGGACTGCAAAGCAATAGAAGAATTGGTATTGAAATATTCGATAACAAAGAGAAAAAAAACATGTATTCACACCCGAAAGTTTAAATCATAACGATAACAACATGGAAAGATTGTTGCTTTCATACATTTCATACTAGTTCATTCATACAAGATCCAAAGGTCAAAGGTTGCCTTGAATAAGACATCTTTCC